AGCCACTACCCCTACGCTGAGGAGATCATGGACCTGTGCGATGCCTACGGCATCGTGGTGATCGACGAGTGCCCGGCGGTGGGGATTAAAATGCCGTAAGCAGTTGCTCAGAGGACCCTTCCCCTTCTTCCGATGATCTTCCCTGCCGCAGTGTCCCCCTCCCATCCCACAGCACCCAGCGGCCTGATAATGGGAGCACTTTGCTCTATTTAGAAATCAGCCCGTTGCACCATGTGTGCCTCGCGAGGTTGGGCAACTGGAGGGCGTTTTGCCACATGGCCATCACGTCATTTAGTCTGGCGTGATTAACGAGCCCAGGCCGCGGCCCTGAACTGTTGAGCAGGCTTTGGGGAAATAGGGCAGAAGCCATATTCAGCGTCAACGCTCAGCTGTGCTTCCACTCCCCAGAGGCGTGAGTTTTCCCAGGGAAAGGCAAAGGGGCTTGATTTTATACCCTCACCTCACCAGGTCTCACTTCCTTTTGTCTTTAAGCGAGAGCTTTGGGAACAAGTCCTTGCAGCATCATCTCGTCGTGATGGAGGAGCTGATCCGCAGGGATAAGAACAGGCCATCAGTCGTGATGTGGTCAGTAGCCAACGAGCCGGCATCAGACCTGCCCCCAGCAGCTTACTACTTTAAGTAAGTGCATCTGCTTGTACACAGAGCTGAGGCTTGAGTCGTGGCAAATGATGCATCTTCTTCCTTTGGGATGGCACAGAGAAATAGCAAAGAGAGGGCAAGCATTTTTCTGGGAACCCTGAAACAGTACCTGCAGATGCAAACTAAAAGTGTAACTGCTGCATGTGTTGAGCTGATGCTCAGAACCGCACAACAGTCTCAACCTATTGTTTCTGAACTAGTAAGGCTCTGTAAAGTTACCGGCAGTCCATTTGGTCTAAGCATCTCTTCTTGACCTAAGGATCAAGCAAAAGCAGACCCGATGGGAACAGGATATTCCTCATTACTGATAGAAGATGAGTGCTGAAGTATTTGACAGTTACAGCAAAACTGTAAAATAATTTGCCTTTAATTCTGAAGACAAGGTTCTTCAGTTAGTGCTAGTTATTTGTTCTGCAGGGGACTGTGACACCCCACTTTAAAGCTGTTGCTTCAAGTCCCTGCATACCCCTTGGTTTTATTTTTAAAGAGATTTAAGCTTTGGATAGCTAAGAGTCATCTCTGTAATGGGGTTGCAGACTGTCCCTAGTAGCTGTAGGTGCATTAAGAGGTAACTGTGAATTTTCATTCTTCAGAATGATCCACAGCCTTCCTGCAATGTCAAGGTAGCAGCAGAGCTGGACCCTCCCAGTCTCTGTCTCACCTGCCTCACTCAGGGTTTCCTCAAAAGCAGCCAACCTGTGACTGCTCTGCCTGCTGTGGTGGAGGGCTAGGGCCTCGTGCTTTTGCAGCAACACATGCCAGGAGTTGTTCAGAAGCTTCCCACTGCCCTCCTCACGTTTTCATGACCAAACTCACTGCCCCTTCACCAGCTTGCAAGCTGCTGGCACCGACGGACACATTAACAGGCCTGCCTTTGGTGTACTTCCATTCTTTCAGGTGGGATAGCAACCAACTTTGTGACAGATAAGTCTCTGCCATCATATTTATACCCCTGAAGAACTTGCTAGACTTGCAGGCACTTTATAGCAGACAATCACCAAGTATCCTGCAGTATTTAACTAAAAATACTCTGCCTCCTAAATCAGAAGCAGCTCCAAATGTCTGAGAGGGGGTGAAAGGACAGAGCTTGGGGAAATGGGGCTGTGCTTCTCCATGCTGTTGTTGAAATCTTGCTTTACTGTTTGCAAACAGGACAGTGATAGCTCGCACTAAAGCTCTCGATCCCTCCAGACCAGTAACCTTTGTGACAAATGTTAATTACGCGCTTGATCGTGGTGTAAGTTTACTTTATTTTCTAGCTTTTTTTAAAGTCATACATGAAATTTCCTCTTCTTGTCATTTGTTTTACAGTCCTTTCCCCCCACCTCCCCAAGTTTACTGCAGATATTAAACAGGGAGAGGCAGAAGAGAACTTGTACTTCCTCTTTCTAGTACAAAGCACCTTATCCTGTAGTTGTAGTCCAGCTGAAAAAAGTATCTGTAAGAGAGAAGAACAGTTCTGTGTCTTGAGTGTAGTATGCAGGATCCAACCCCTGGATTCCAGTAACATTGTCATGCTTTGCTATTCCATTGATTGTGTTTATTAATGCTCAGAATTTTCACTTGCAATTAAACCAAAGCTTAAACCTCTTTAAAATGCTAACAGCCCTTGTGGAAGTCTAAAGGAAGAAAGCTTTGCTCTAATTCCTGCTTTAAACTGCTCTAGATCTTCTTTCGCAGATGTCTGTTCATGCTGAATAATCTGAAAGCTCTTCCAGCTTCATAATTAAGTCCTAGAGCTGTATAAATAGCCAAAAGGCACTTCTCTTGGATGTCTGCGCCTTAATCTGGCCAGAGCATGAACCAAGGATCTTTAACACACATACATTTGTTCCCAGGGTAGTGCCTGTGTAATTCTTAATTTTTCAAAATGGCTTTGTAACACTTGTCACTCCTGTACAATAAACACTTCTGGCAGGTGAGCTTGTAGGTACACGATACTACCCCGTCCCTGTTACAGGTGACAGTTTGCATTTCTTTCAAGCTGTCCTACAATTAGCAGGAACACCCTTTTGTAACTCGGAGGTCTGTTCATCCCCACCCCAGGAAAATAAAACTGGTGGTCTTAGTTCTTTTTGAAGGTGCCCAGCAGGGATCTGGCTCTTGAATATTGCTGTTTCATCAGGCACGCGCAGCCTGACTCAGGTATCCCATCCCCACAAGTGTGTTCTGACTAGCTTGAGGGGAGACAGGAAAGCACCACCAAAGAACAGATCTCATACACTGATGTGATATTAGAACTTTTTTCCTTTTATTACAAAACATGTCAAGAGAACATTGAACAACTTACATACAACATCACTTTATCTTTAGTGGGCTTTGTGCCCTTTTATCACACTGTCCATGTGGTAGAAATGGCATATAACTTGCAGAACGCTTACTCTTAGTATTGCACCATGGATGCACAAATTTAGTTGCTAGTCAAAATATTTGACCACTAACTTGATCATCACATTTCAATACTCAAAAAGTACATCTAAATGTACCAGCAAGCCAGAGACATCTTGGAAACTCAAAAATTTCTAACAAACCTGAGGATGAAATAGGTTGATCTTGTCTAACTCTTTTGCTTTGACTTTCTAAGCCTGTAAGACAAATGCCAAATTAATATGCTATTAGCTTATTAAAATTTATCCTGCCTTTTTTTCTGGGAAAGATGTCATGTTGGGAGGGCCTGAGTGATGAGGGAAAGGACTTTGTTCTATGTGTAATAAAACCATTCTATGAAACGAAACAAAAGGAGGATTTAGCTTTGTGAGTGAAGGTTGTCTACTTTCAGCTCTGTGACAAAACACTTGCTTTGTTTTTTTTGTAGGCTCCTTATGTGGACATAATTTGTGTAAACAGCTATTTCTCCTGGTATCACGACCAAGGCCATCTGGAAGTTATTCCAATACAACTCACAACACAGTTTGAGAACTGGTATAAAACCTACCAAAGGCCCATTATCCAGAGTGAATATGGAGCAGACTCGATTCCTGGACTTCACAGTGTAAGTGTTACAGGCGCCCTAGATGGAAAAAAAGCGCTGCTGCTCTTACTGAGTCAGGAAAACTTCATTAGAAGAGATGGGTACCATTGAGACTGACTACTTAGTTGAGATGCATTAGCTTGTAAGTGTCTGAAAGACTCCAGGATCGTAATCCTGCTCTACTGAAATCAACAAGCTTTGCCACGGACTAACAAAGGTTAGATTCCACCTAAAGAGAAGTTTTCAGCTTTGAGTAAAAGCAGTGAGCACTCTGAAATCTCTGCTTCGGCATTTGTAGAAAACACTTGATCAGAAGTTAGGGCACTGGAGGGTAGGCATGCACGTCGTGATGCTGTCCTGCACAGAAGGGGCTGGCACTCCTACACCTGTCATGACAGAGTTCAAAACCATGGACTCCCTCCCTCCAAGTAGGTCGGGCATTATGTTTGTATTCTATGTTGCATTTCCCCTTGTAATTTCAGTAGCTGCTAATCATTACTAAATAGCCATTGTTAATGCAGCGGCCACGAAAAGACCAGGCAATTCTAAAGCTCGTTTTCAGGAAGCAGGTCCCCAGTAAATAGAAAGTTAACATATGGAGCCTTTGCTGAGGTTAACTGTCACCTTCATTTAAGGCCACCTCTTTTTCCTGGCTGTAGGATCCACCTCTTATGTTCAGTGAGGAGTACCAGAAAGCTATGCTAAGAGAGTACCATTCTGGTTTTGACAAAAAGAGGAAGGAGTATTTGATTGGGGAGCTCATATGGAATTTTGCTGATTTCATGACTAATCAAGGTAAGCTTGTATTTATATCTAAACAACTCTCCATCCTCCCTGCAAGTTTAAAATGGTTTATGATATACCAAGAATATTGTGCTGTAGGGTAGGTCAAAAGGGCCCTCTGCTTACCAAGACAGAGCACAGCTGGTTTCTGTGACAAGGCCCAGCATGACCAGAGCCACAAGGGAAGGTCCTGCCTGCACTTAATGCATCCTCTGTCTCCAGCTTAAGGTCCTAGATGTCCCACCTAGAAAGATGCTACCCAGAACACGAGACAGTGTGCTAGGGCAGAACGCAAGGGAAGCATGTGAGCAGACCCAGATGACTTTATTTCTTGGCCATCCTCTAATTCAGAGCTTCAGTCAGCTGCTAGGGATGTGTCTCACTTGCTGTGTATTTCATCCACAACTGACCTTGGTAACAAAGCACCTTAAATAATGTATTATTAACTTGGTACAGAGGTACTTAACTTAGCAATAGAGGACCACACTAGTTGACAACTGTCTATCAAGACACTCCATCCACTATTAATAAATAAGTGCATTTGCAAAGTATCAGGCATTACTTAATCTACAGTGCAGTCAGTCACACAGAAATTAAGCTACTACAGCTCAGGAGACCTCCTAAGGAAGCAGTTATGCATATGCCACCTGCAGTGAGGTCGTGTGGTGAACAGTCAGTGTTCATTTCAGGCAGACACACCCGTGAAGAATAACCTGCAGAGCACCAATATAGGTATTAGAAAGCTAAGTCATCGCAGAGAAGCAGTCAGAAAAGTAATATTAGGTTCAAATAGGAGGACAGAGAAAACGTAGACACATTTACATACACATATGCGGTTCCAGTCTCTATGTTACGATCATCTGTTCTAGTTTCCTATGAAAACTGAAGTAGGCAAAAAGGATATGGACACCACTAAAGGACAGCACAGTCAAACAGTTAGTAATCAACATTTTCACCATCAAATTTCAAGGTGGAACTGATGGCAGAAGGAACATCTGCTGTAAATATAATACTGACCAAGTTAATGGGCACATCCAAATTAACTGTCAGCAACTTACCAGCTGTAAATACAATGAATTGCAGCTATATTGCTCAGTTACATCAGCTGATCTTGCCAAGATGACGCAAATTCCATCTGCCAAGTTCCTTGTTGTACCTGACTGTGTAGAAGACAGTGCATAGGTCTCCTCCACCTAGCCTGATTTAGGACATCCGTTGTAAGAGTTCACAGCAGGGGATATAAGAGCATTTTATGTGTACTTGTTTTATTTTATAACTTCTCCACAGGGACCACACGTGTTTTGGGGAACAGGAAAGGAATATTTACCCGCCAACGACAGCCCAAATCAGCTGCATTTGTTCTTAGAGAAAGATACTGGAAGATTGCAAATGAATCAAGCTGTCTTCCTCCTATAATGAAATCACACACCCTCTTTCTAAAATGAAATCAAAAGGTATAGTGGCTGGGTACGATGCTCAACTTATTCATTAAATTTGTTTAAATAATATTTATGCCTGACTCGAGTCTTGCAAGTCTAATGCAATTTCTAGTCCACCTGAAGTAGTTACTGTGATACAAAGCAGGTCAGAAACGCTAGTTTCCCATGCTTAGACGTGTCTGTAGGCTTCCTGCTTCCAGGCAGTAAAATGAATATTCAGAGTTTCAAGGAGCTGAAGTTAGAGATCCTGAGTGAGGTATCTGTTTATGGCAAAAAATGAAAAATATTACATGATACAAATCAATGCTGAAGACTTAAAAAATCCAAGTTACTCTAAATGAACATCACATCCCTCAAATGCAAATGAGGTTTTCCAGTTATACTACCCTAAGAGTTACACTACTCAGCTGACAGCAAATTTTCCACAGGATTACTGAAGAGCACAATTTAGAGGGCTTCTCTTGCTAGACAGAGCGTATGTGGCTGGCTGAGAATTTCCGAGAGTTCACAGCGTTCAGGAAGTGCAGGAGCCACCCCTTCTGCGAGGATACCCACCACACTCCACTACAGTATAGGATTCGTACTACAGCAGCAAGGTGGAGTATGTTAGGTAGGCAGGTACTAGATTAACTGAATTTGGTTTAAAACTATTTATTTTAGTCACAGTACCAGAACTGCCACTATTAGATGCAGTTTTACCTTCCAGCACGGAAGAGCTTCCTTCATATTAAATTGCCACTATGTACTACAGTAATAATAGTCTAGAGGGTAAATTTGATCTAAACCTTTTCGATACTGGCCTGAAGCATTCTGGGGTAGGGCAATGTGTAAATTAACGTGCACACACTACTTTAGACAGTAATATAGTGTAGTGACGTCCCTTTCAGGCCACACACCAGTCTTGGAGGCTCTAAAGGCCAGGCTTTACACTGTAACAGAGGATGCCAATACTGACAGAAGAGCTCAGAACACTTACACTGCAAATTTCTTATTGTGACATCCCAGGGCTGTCCCAAGAGCAGGATCACAAAATTGAGGCTGCCTACTGAATTTTGGAAGCTAGCACAATTATGTAGTTTCATTATTCCGATTCACAAATACTATGTGAAACTGCTGCCATCACTACTTCTTCTGCAATTGGCTCTTCTGCTAGTACCTCAAGAAAGTGACCAAAACATCTGCCAGTATAAAGAAAATAGCTGCTTTCATGCTGCGCAGTGGCCAAATTCTCTTTCCTTTAGATGTGATACATTAGAAATCAACGCCACCTTCCACGCAGCCACCTGCAGAACGACATGCGTTTACTGCAAACTTCAAAAACAATTTTTCTTGAGTTTTTAAGGGAAAACAAGAAACATGTTATCAACATTCCTTGTGGTTATACCATATTAGGTTTACATATTTTCCATGTAACTAAAACCCCAGAATATAAGAGTCTATCCATAGTAAAAAGACACTTGCTCAAATGTACCGTGGTAGAAGAGTGAATACCACATTTAAGCCCACTACCAATGTTTGAAAGTCATTTCAACTTCTCCATCTCTAGACATGATTTCTTTTAAGCCATTTTCTTCCCCATTTCAACAGACACAACATACCAACAGCTGCCACATCAAAATACAGATAAAGATTTGACGTTGTTAACGCATTACAAACTAGGGCTCAGATCCCAATGATAAGACACAGGGCTTGCAGTTGCAGAAGAGAAAGCTATTAGTTTCATTCAGTCCAACAAAACAGATGCAGAGTTTAACATCCCCACATATGCCAAGCACACATTTCAGAGTCACAGTTCCTGCTCGTGCTGAACAGCTCAGTGCAATTGTAAACCCACGCCGCCTGTCTGACCCTGCCCCAACAGCTCCCTCCCTCTCCTAAATCCAGGAAAACACAGCAGTTTCCAGATACTTTGTGATGGTCAGAGCGGAGTTACCTACAGAACCAAGGAACACAGGAAGGGATAAAGCCAACATACTTAATGTTTGTGGTTTTTTGCATGTTGCTTAAAGAACTGTAAACAGTTAAAGCCTCAAGTCCATGCTGCGCCCACCCATGTGCACACAGCATTCAGCAAGACTCGAGGAAGCTGCAGAAGTTCTATAAACTGGTATCTCTGGGGACCCAAGTGCTTTAACCCTTCTACTGCTAACACACAATGTCTTTGAACAAAATCACAAATTCGTACACTTCGAGAAACAGAATTACAGTACTGACTTTAAAAACAGTTTCTAAGGCTCAGACTGAGTCCAAAAAGGCCTCTGATTGGGTTCATTCAAGCTCTTCTGTTTGGACTGCATGAATGCAGCATAAGAATGATTGCAGCAAGACATCCACAGGTAATTTCTACATTTATTTTTTTTATACCAAAAAGTTATGTGCAACAAATAGAATTCGTACATATTTACATTGTTTTACCTGTTAGCAAAATTGTATCCTAAACCTCCAATAGAGAATCCCTCACCCTATGTTGATAAAAGGAACATCTGCCCACTGACTCCATGTAAATAGATGTTTACTTTGGAGTTTAAAGCACTAGTAATAAATAGTTGATGGAACATACCATACAGAACAAACACCTAATATTTAGGCCATGCTTAATACAGTTTTATGGTAACAGAATACTTTCTCTTTTCCGGACCAGTTTTGTCTAGATCATGTTTAAACAACATTGGCAGAACCAAAGCTATCAGAGGTCTCTGACTTTCGCCCATATCAATTAGAAGCATCGAGTGCTGCCTGAAGCACCTCACCAATCTTTTAGAACCATCAAGAGTGTCTGTACAGCAGAAGACAAATGCGTACTACAGTATGCAGAAATCTCCTAATAACAGACTTACTGTCATTTGAGATACTAAAGGTGGTAGGGAATGTTTCATTGGCCTTAGCGTTGCAAACACTTCACAGTAAGAAATTTCCAAGAACATTCATTTCCGAAACGAGACTTGAATACTTCGTTGGCCTTAAGAGTAGCAAGTACCTTACAGGAAGAGGATTTCAGGAATGCGTAATTCCTAAACAGGTTTTGGGATGAGGTTCTTTTGCCTTTCCAATCTGCCCCTCCCTGCAGAACTTCTGAGAGCCAGGGAGGGGAAAGAAAGCCCAAATTCAGAACCACTGCTTGCAGATTATGATTTCCCCCCGCCTCCATTCTCATGAATTCTGAAACCACAACCAGAATCTGTGTAACGACACTGCACCCCTGTCCCTCTGCCACAGCAGGTATTACTTACTAGCTTTTACCCATGCTCTTGTATCCTCAGTATTTCTCAGAACTTGCCTTTGAATTTGTAAGGATCAAATTAATATCAACCCCACATCTGCCATGAGATCTGCGCTGGCTGGGGGCAGGCAGGGGGGGCAGCTGCATGAAGCACACGTCAGATTTCCATCACGTTACTAATTGTAACCTGAGCTGTTTCACTGGAAGAAATATGCTGTTTCTATCACTGCGAGCAACGAGGAAAAAGTCAAAGAACTGGAAGCAAAAAGGTCCAAATTTCTACTGCTAATATGATTCTGCCCTTTATTCTGGCCAACTGCATTTCTGAAGCACAGGAGAGAAAGCAGAAGAGTTAGGGCCATTTCTAACAAATCACTTCCAGTAAAAAGTAACTGCAAGAAAAGCACACGAAACAAGAGAGTTCACAATTAAGGATCAGATTTGCAAGATCGTGCACAAACTGTAGCTGCAAATTCTTCGAGAGGCCAAACTCCGTTGCCATTTGATCCCTATGCGCACACAAACAGGGACTGCAGACACGACTGCTGAAAATCTGGCCCTAAACAATTTTACTGAACAAACTGAATTAACAGACTATGCCCACACAGACAAGCACAAGACACAGTGAAGTTAGTCAACACCTATACTCTCAGCTGATGGGGCTTTTTCTTCCTTTTTTCCCCGGTGCGCAATACACCCAGGAACTGGACCAAGGAACCATTGGTTATACTTGTCTCCATTGCTGCTTGTTCTGAGGTATTAGCGCTGCGACTAACCACTTCAGGCAGCACGTGTTCACCTCGCCCTCGGATGAAAACGATGCCTTAGTGTAGATCACAGGAATGCATCAAAATAAATCTATACAACGTATTAAACAGTGATACTGCCTCAAGGCTTGCAAGAGAACAAACTAAAGCCTTGAGGGACCAGTTTGACATCATCCACTCCCCTCATATCAAAGTTCAAGGCATTTGAGAAACAGAACTAAACATCAAGACAAGCTTTAACTATACTCTGGTCAATACAAAACGCATTTAATGAATTGTTGTCTAAAACTGTTAGACAAGAGGGACAAGTAATTTAGTGTTACATGCAACAGATGTTACTCATACCACAGAACTCTATACATAAAAGCAGTTTCCACCTACATCCTTGATACAAACCAGAAAATTACTTCAGTATTAATTTAAATACTACTTTGTGAGGTCAATCTAAAAATTCTATTTTCTCTACGGAACACTGCATGTTTCACAGTCAAGTTTATCCTCAGCAACTTAGTGTTTATAATCCACTTAGCCATACAACATAAGTGTCTCTGACATTCATGTTTAAGAAAAAAAATCCTAAAATTAGTTAAACTAATTCTTTAAATAAATGGGTATGCAGTTGGAATTCTTCATATTTTAGAAGCTGACAAGGGCGAAAAGCAGCACAGCACCAATTACAGAAAGTAGCTGAACCTATACATTTTGGTGTCACAGAGTCTGAAACACAAGTATTGTACTTTGCTGAACTGCATCATCCACCTTCTGTCGCACTGATTTAAGTTAACTGAAACAATACTGCTACCACTTCTCAGTCTAAAAACTAAAATATATCTCTTAATACTCTTCTGTCCTCAGCAAGTTGCCGGGAATTTTGTTTGTTTGTTCATTTTTAAAGCAAGGACACTTCTGCCTGCCAAGTTCAACACAAAGTATTTGGTTTAAAATTTTAAGACAGAAGGCACTTTGAACATTCAGCCTTAGAACACTGAGCACAGAAACAACATTTACAATTTTGTTCCTTTGTTTAAATCTGCAGTTTAATTTTTTTCCCAATTAGTTATTAGAAAGAGCAATGATAGCACTATATCACATTTCATTTTCAGCAGCACATTTACTTACTTATCCCACTAAACAGGGTGCCCTTCCAAGGGATCTTATGTGTGTCAGCCTAAAGTTCAGTTCCCAATATAGCGCAAACCAAAGATTGCGACAAAGATCAATTAAGTAACTGCTTTTTCAGTACACGGTTATCCCAGTCAGTCAATGGTTTCCACTGCAAATTGCAATCCTGTACTGCAGCATTCATATAACATCGAACATTAGTAACACTGGCTGTCTGACCGCAGTTTAAAAATGAAACAACTCTGCATGGAAATTAAGTCCTTTCAAAGAACGCTCTTTGATACACCAATCCCCAGTCTGCACATAATATCCCGGTGGCAGCTTTCTATTGACCACATTAAGCTATTTTCATTCTGTACAGAAAGTAATGAAGTTGCGGTTTAATGAACATACTTCAGGTTTCAGCTTTAATTCCATTTTTGTTACTGGAGACAAAAAGAGAAAAAAAGGAACAAACCCCAGCCATCATTCTTGTGAAAGCACTAGCAGTGAGTGCAGCAACACGGTGTTCTCTACAGAGGTCACTTCTTCCATCCTGTCAGTCGACTGTTAGCTGAACACTCTGACAGCTCCTAGGCTGACAAAACTGGTTGCACAGCGAGTTCTCCAGGGATGAAACCAATATTTCTAATTTTATTTACAGTATAAGTCCCAGTCAAATCTAAGTCCATCAGCTAAAAAAAAAGTAATACACATACTGTAAACATGGCAACATTAAATATGGTAATGCTAGTCTAGAATATTTAATGTCATGATCGCATCTTGTTATACCTGAATTTATATACAGGATATTTTATAGCAAGTGTTACCCACTTCACAAGTGGAGGGGGAAGAGACAGAGTCTAGGTTTTGCTGTGGCTAAAACTCCTTCAAAGTAAAGTTAAAGCTTGTCTTTGATTGTATTAGAGCTTTCTTTCATAACCACATTTAAATTGAAGATTAGCACAAAAAAATTATCTAGGGCCCCTTCAAATTTATAATTAAAAATTCAGTTATGATTCTCAGGGAAAGTGTCTGATATGGAGAATAAAAAATTACTGCAAAATAAACTTAATGGAAGTTGGGTCTTCAGACTGTCAGTCAAAAGTTCAAACAGGCGTTATTCCTGTTTGGGTTGGAGTTGCCGTTTCCAGGCCTCGTTCAAATAAACTAGTCGTTTGTAGTTGATGATAAAGAGAATGAAGTTCAGCAAATATGTGATGACGCAGACAATGCAAAACTCCTTCAGCACGAAGTACAGAATGTATGCCAAGTACAATGACCCTACTACAGACACTATGGAGGATGTCATGAGGATTAGAGCTGCTACTGCACTTGCTGTCATACCTGCAACAAGAGAGAGAAAGTTACTACTGCTGCTCTCCCTCCCCTCTTCCACACAAAGCAAAAAGCCTAAGCACTCTTAATTCAAACTGAAGGCTACTCCGCAAGTTTGTATTACATAAAAGTCTGTTTAAAATACCATGAGTTCAAGATGGCTGACAAATCGTTATTTGGAGGGGAGCTTCTAGGTTCTGTACGACAGTCCTTTGATAAGAAGTGTGTGTAGTATTTACCATCTTCCGTATTCCTGAGTTGTGGGAAAGTTACAGGTTTGTCAAGTTACGTCTATCAATATTAATAGCTCTATAGCAGACCATATAGTTACAAAGAAATATGTGTACATTACATTTCATGCACTTTTTTGCCTGCTATCTCTATTACTCCTGCAAAACTTGTAAATTCCATTTTTAGTTCCTCTCTTTTCTATCATGCAATCCAATGCTAAATATATTTACGTGAAAATACCAGTGCAGCAACTGTCTTGACACTTATATTAATAGCACAGCAGGAGAAAATGCAATTGATTATTATCAGTTGGGTTTTTAAGCCCTTTGGACAGATGTATCAGTAGACTGTAAAAAAAAAAAAAAAAAAAATCACATGCATTTATTTGGTCTCTTACAGGTTATGCAACATATAATGCACTCCTCTTTCATCACCACAGGCCTGTTACATACTTTAGGCTCTAAGCTGAATTCATACTTACCAAGTAGCATTTGTAGTATATAAAACACGAGTCCAAAAACACTGTTTGACTGATTTATTGCACTGTCCTTTCCAAAGATGGAACCCAACAGACCGAATCCTCGACCCCATCTGTAAAACAGTGAAACTAATTAACTTCTATTTAGATGCCTACTGCTTTACATCAGTATTTTCAATTCATCGCTGTTGGGAGAGAAAAAAAATAGATACATGTACTCTGACATAACCACCGCAGTCCCGAGGTTCGGGGTTATCTTGGAAAACCAAGCAGCTTGCAACAGGGTGCACTAGGGACAACTTTACTCCACACATTGCTGATGAAACTTATTTGACATGCCAGGAACTGCCAAGTTCACACAACTGCAACTTCACCAAATACCATGTCTGCCTCCTAGGGTTGTAGTTCAAAGCTCTTTTGTCAGATAAAGCCTTCCTTCCTCCAACGACAGCTTTAGCAGTTCTCTCCACCCCAGTAAGTAGGACATGCGCTCACCATACAGCTGAGGGAAAATGGGACAACTTGGTAACTAGTTGTTACCAACTCCGCCAGCACTTACCTCGCTGGCACCAAAGCAAGCAAATCAGAACACATGTTTGCACTTCAGCTGCTCCTGATCAGTGTAACACCTAGGAGGAACCCAAATCTGTCAAGCAGACAAGTTGGGGATGCACATAAGATGCACAGGCCTCATTTGTTAGAGTCCTTGCAGTGCAACATTTTGACCTAGCACCTTAACCACACAGCAACTTTCAACTTTTTAGTGATAAGATAGAAAGCAGCATGTGCCCTACAAAACTGCTGCTGCAATACAGGGGATAAAAGATTAAATTAGCAAATGTATTTGTGCTAGAAACCAGTAATTTGATGCCCTAAGGCAGATCATGCCATTATTTGTAAAAGCAAAGTGAGGACCATATTTATTAGTGTCACTTGAAAATATGAAGAGCAGTTAGCACTACTTTAACACGCAACTTGATTCACTTACAAGAGAATGTCAGAATATCTGCCAGCACGGCTTCGGAGCATCAAGTCAAGCACTACATAAATGTAAGGCTAGGTTCACATTATCAGGTTAACTGTCACATAACTAAGTAAAAAAAAAAAAGAGTAATTCCTCACTGCTGTTGCAGCAGGAAACACTAGTGTGCTACACTTATGCCAACAGAAGCGCAGTTTCCAAATAGTTTGTTGTAGTAGAGGCAACGGTTCTGAACTAAGGCACAGCACAGGTTTGCTTTCTGCACACTACAGGAATGTTGCTGACAGACTTCACCATATGTTGGAGCCCAGTGGAAGGCTACTACCATATTACAAGCCATTTCCTCACACGAGAAAGGTACCACAATAAGCACAATTTAATACCATCTCCAAAATACTTCATAATCTCACAGCCACTTGTGCAATATTTTAAAAACATATTCAAATTAATCATTTTAATTCAAACATAGTAGCTGTCTGCAATGAACTATTACACCCAAGTATTGTGCTTTTCTCCCCAAGAAATCGAGCAGAGAATTAGGTACCAATTCCTAGAAAGCATGTTTACTGCATAAAGAGCAAAAAAAACCAACGAACATACTTTCAACTAGTTTGACCTCAAATCTTGTAGATGACTGAAGCGAAACTTATGTGCAAATACGAAGCTCTAAGCCAGCAGAGAAAAGACTGACACTTGCTTCACCACGGGGACAATGCCTCACATCCCCAGGCTGCGCAGGGTCAGAAAAAACACAACCTTCATCGCCGGGAGGAGCAGTGCAATACTGCCTCGCTCCCTGCCGCCATCGAAGCGCAAGCCTGGGGCTACACAAACCGTGGGGGACAGGGCTGGTGACGCATCCTCCCTGCAGCATACGCAGGCAAGGAGTCCCAGTTAGCGTATAGTATATATAGTTTGCGGGCGAAGCAGCATCAGGGATGGATCTGGAAAAGCAGCTGCAGAGATGGGAGTGCAGAGCTTTGCGGCTAAGGGAGCCACGGTTCCAAGAAGGAGGGATTTTAAAAAAGATCAAACACCATGCAACAATACCTAAGCAAACATTATAAACAAATACTGCAAGTTCCAAAGCATCTCAGCAACAACGAGACTTTCCTCCCACACACTGAACATTACCTGGATTTTAAGTGAGAAGGGTTTATTTTTTAGCCTTACTCTGGTAAGATGGTCACAGCCCGTGTACCAATTGTCTCATGTTATCCGGCTACCAAATTCAGTATTAAAGAACCAGAGAAGTATATTAAAGGTCCATCATTTTGCATTTGATAGTCTACTCGTATTTTTCTGTGTTACCACATCTATAGATGCTTCAGCTCAATATCCACAGCTGCAATTTATTGTTCTGGTCTCCAAGTGAATTGTTTGTAGGGTGACATTAAACTCCATTTGAGCACACTCCAGCTTTCCTCACCTACAGGCTAAACAGCACAACGCAAAGAGCAGCCAGGTTTGTGGTTCAGTGTTAGCTTAGCTCAAAGCAACGGCAGGATGCGAATTCCTGCCCTCTCCCTGCCCCAGCTGTACGCTCTCCTTTCTGATGCTCACAAGATCCCGTTGTGTTTGCGAGCAAACTCAAAACATCAGAAACTAAATTTAGACTACAGAATCTGACCCTACAATTATTCTGCAAGCAAATAAAATGTTGCTAATGGAAAGAAAATGAGTTCAAGCCCTTCCTGACAGTCTGCGTCCCCAAGCGATCTGTTCATAGCTGGAAGAAGGTCAGACCATGGTGAAAGCTTTTTCCACATGCAATAGTTCATTAAGTATCTTGTTGGCCTTGTAGCAGCTTTGAGTACATCAAGTATTACATTTCAGTCCATGGAGTACAGCTCTAATCTCGCATCTTGTTTCACACACTTCAAGACAGGTAAGCAGCCTGTCGTTTAAGACAAAGCACTTTTTCCAGCCTTATAAAGTTTGAAGTGTGAGGAGGTTTTCTGCATCAAACTGAAAAGCAAAATATTTAGACTTTATATTCTAATTTCTCTACTGAAGAGGCTAAATCATTTTCTAATTCCTCAAGGAGGTCCCAAACCCCACTAAAAGGCACAATGAATCAAGTATTTTTGCAAGCAGCTGGAGGAAGGAAGACGACTAAGTATGGTAAAAATCTTCCTTCTCACACCAAAATCATCCAAATCACACCCAAGCTGTCATAACTTTGAAAGTCTAAAAACATATGATAAACAAATAGCAAGGAAGACTGAAGTAATTAGGTTAGAATAAACTTCACAAAAGAAAACATCAGTAAAAAAGGACTATAAACTACTCGATTTCATCACAGAACGTGCCTTTCTTATAAAGAATATAATCTACAAGAACTACTGTTAACTCGGATCAATTTTTTGGATGCAGAACGCTAAGTAAAACGAACACTCTGTTGTGAAAGCCATGCTGAAGTCACCCTGCACAACTCAGAGCAGAATGACAAACACATGTGGCAAGCCTATGTTTGCCACACCCAAGTTTCACTCCTATTAAAAACGGCAAATCTGAACGAACTTCAAGGAAGTTTTAAAATAAATCTTTATGACATCTTCCTGTACGTTTTCAGTAACTCAAATTCCCCCTTTGTTCCAGCTGACAGCCTGTGTCACTTCTCAAGAATCAAGAAATCCACGACAAAGTGTTTAGAAATATTCGTGTAGTTTCCTTTACATCTAAAATTGAATTCTACAGTGACTTTTAGTGCAATGTGCATTTCCTTTTATCAAAAGAAGGTCTTGAAAACTATTATCCACCCTCTAAACAGTGTCCCTTTTGGTCTGCAATCTTTAACCAAGCTCAAAAGTGTTGCATTTTTAGAAGTTTAAAGCAGTATTTGCATGCGCTTGACATTTCTTAACAGGAAGACGAAGAACTGAGGTCATTTTGATCCACAAATGACACAAATAAAATGATACTGTTAAATCATTACCTCTTCTGCACAATTATGAACATCCTCTCTGTCCCACAACAGCGTACTATGGGAGTACACTTGAAACAGTTTACCGTAATTTAGCAGAGATGATACCACTGGCAGAAAGGCAACCAAGAGAACCTCATGCAGTACACTACTCTCTCAGTCAACCAACCACCACGTTTAACAAGGTAAAAGCTGTAAGAGTTATCAGTATTAGCTCAAAAAGCAACAGAACTCCAAGCCTGCTAAACACAGCAAGTCAAACAAACAAAAAGTATGTATTTGTTCAGGAGTCTGATCCCTGTCTCATCCACTTTCTGTAAGAAATGTTATATTGTTTTTTTTTTTTTTTTTTAGTCAAGCAGCCCAATTCTGACAGTTACCTGTCGGAGATGCTTTTAAGGGCTTTTACAGAGATCATTCCCCAAGATGGTCTCCTTGTCCTCAATCATCATTAAGTTAAGAATCAGCTTAAGAAACTTCTGAACTGGGGTTTCACCTGCATCAACATGCTGAGTAGCCTACCCTGAAGCCTTCTTGCATATACCTAGATGCCTTCTGAACACATACTTTTGACTTCCACAACATCCCCTGGTAACGAATTCCAGAATCACATCACCTCAGTTTCACTTGGCAATCCTCAGTTCTCACATCAGGAAAAGAATTACCTACAGTATATTCATTTTAACATGAAAATAACCATACTAGATCAGGTCAAACCCAGCTAGCTTCAGCACTGTGTCTCTGACATCAGCGAGTACCAGATGCCTTGAACAAAGCACCCACACTTCCCAATTCACATTCCAGTCTCCTAAACGTCCAGTTGAAAATGCTATCAAATACTTCAGGAGACCAGATTATTAAATGGCATGTATGACTCAACATACGAGAACACTTTGGGTTTGTGCAGCAGCAGGTTTTCCAACACATTTCTCGCAATTTTATGTTTGCTGCAATGAAAATGGAAAACAACAGCAGTAAAAAAGACTAAACTTTCAGAGAACTGTAAGTAAGGAACTCAAGTTCTATTTTCTGAGTAGTAGTAGCTTACTTAAAGCCCCTCATTTCAGGCTTATTTTTCATCCCATAAGCATTATTTTGTTATCGGCAAACACCATTTACCACTTTGTAACCAAGGAAACAATACATATTTTCTTAAAAAAGCCCACACTCGGCAAGTAATGCGCATATTTCCTTAAGTGTCATCTGACTTCTGAGATAAGTTATGGTACAGAATGGAAGTTCTCAGGAGGGGAGTAAAGCTGGCCTATACTCACACATCTGCTTCAGTGAAAAGCTCATATAGAGGTCAAAGGATTTGGAGCACGTTAGTACTTCACAATGTTAAGAAACTTTGGTTGCAGCTTCTTTACAGCTTCACTAGAGGATTTTGAATTAAGCTTCGTTCATGCTTACAAGGTTGTTTAGGCCATTGTAACAGTTTTAATAAATTAAGCAAAAGCCTTCAATTAGAAGCCACAAGAAAGGAGATTAAAAATTCCCATTTGTAAACTTGCCAAGAGTGCTCAACTTTTTGGATTCACTTAATGTTTAAAACTATTAGCAGTATTTACCCTAAACAAATGATACTTTGTTCTATATATACCCCAGCTCTACCTCAGAAACAGTCCGAAAAAATCTCAGAGTCTAGATAAGGAAAATCTCAAGCACAGTGGTTAATTATTTTAT